TGACTGAACATATAGAATATAAAATTACATATACCCACATAAACAAACTTGCACGTCTCTTTCTCTGTCTTTCTCTATCTATTTGTATTTATTTATCTGTCTATATTCCTGTTTCTCTATCTATATATCCATCTACCCAGACTGATTTGGATGAAACCTTCCTTCGTATCTCTCTTTCTATCTTCTTAACGTATATATCAATAATGTGGTGTGATTTGGATGAAAATATTCTTTCTTGTGTGCAGAAAGTCGATTAGTGATGCAAGCTTACCAGTTGGTCTTTCCTCTTTTCGTTCCTCTCAGGCAAGAGCTATGTTTACGAATACTCCGTGACGACTTCTACCGCCCTCCTCGAGACCTTTGACGATGACGCCCACATGCATATCACCGCCCACGCCCACATTGATGTCTCTGCTCCGTGCGAGTACATCCTAAGGGTCAGTAGTACAAGACTCATAAAGCAAAGATGAGATATCTCATTAACCGCAAGAAACATATCTTTTATGGTTCACATTTCGGTTAATACCCTTTCTGTTACAGCTGACGGACGTCAACCTCGATGGCTCGTCTCATGGACCAGAGTTCGCTGCTGCTGTTACCAAGTCGCCCTTGCGCTTCTCTTTCCAAGATGGCCGCATAGAAGATGTCTGCAGCGAAGTGTCTGAGCCCGTCTGGGTCCTGAACTTCAAGCGAGGTCTCCTTTCTACCTTCCAGAATTCCATGACTCATTATGGAAGACAGGTACAATTTTCGGCTTTCTGGGAAAGACAGACACTTGTAACATTTAATGTCACACATCTATGAAATGTATTGTATACTTCCTTCAGCAAAATTATATTTTCTCTGTCATCAATTTCCTAGGACATCAAAGAGACGGACATCTCTGGTGTTTGCTCGACTCACTTCAACTCCACAGTAGAGGGCAACACTGTCGTCATAAATAAGGTCACAGACTTGGCTTCTTGTACTCAGCGACCTGACCATACTGCCTTCATCCCTTCTACCGGATACATCACCGACTCTCCAGTCCAGAGCCTCCCGATCTTTAGTAGCACAAACGAGTGTCACCAAAGGGTTGAGGACGGCATTTTAAAGATGGTAGAATGTGAGGAAATCCATATGTTCCGTCCCTTCTCCAGTGATAAGGCCGGAGCTATCACAACTGGCAAGACCAACATGATTCTTATGTCTCAAGAACAGGCATCGCCTGTTGCAAGTGAGTATACCAAGGACATCTTTGTGTGTCATTTGTTCTAAAGATGCTTTCATTTTCCTCTACCTACGTATAATATACAGAATACTCATATTGTATGCGCAATGATGTTTCTATAACAGAATTTTTACTTTGTACAGACTTTGAATTCAACCGCAATACTCTGGTATTTGAGCATACGCACACAACAGAAGCTCAGCTTGAAGCAGTCGAGGAGATTTTGAACACCTTGAAGGTTGCCTCTGAAAATGATATCCAGCCTGAGGTTCCTTCACTGTTTGCCAAACTTGTTACATCACTTAAGGAACTGAATTATCCTCAGCTGAACACAGTTTTCAATAACGCCAAAGAAACTCATACACGCAAGTTCCTTGCTGACGCGATGCCGCTGGTGGGAACAGCTGCCTCATTTGGTGTGGTTAGAGACATGTACATCAATGGCGCCATGACAGAATTCGAGGCTGATACGTTCTTTACTTCCCTGGCTTTCTTCAAGAACCCAACATCAGAAATGTTTGCTGCCCTTGCTGTTAGTATAGTGATAATCATGTTAATGAAATCTATGTATATATTCATATTAGTGTCGAAAAATAGTATTCTAAAGCCTATTTCTTTGTGGACTAATATATGTCTTTTACATTCTACAGCCTATGCTTGAGAACAACCCAAGCCAAAAAGCACTGCTGGGGACCTCTGCCCTCATCAACACTTTCTGCAAATACCATGAAGATTGTGATGCAGATTCCAGTGTACAGCAAATCCTTCGTCTAATCGAGACACAACTTGGATCTGGTTGTCGTACAGTAAATGAAGAAGAAAAATTCAAAGTACTTGTAGCTCTCAAAGCACTTGGAAATGCTGGTCGATGGGTTAATGCCAACTCAATTCTAAGACGATGCTACACTGAAGATAATGACATGGAAGTGCGCGTGGCTGCCATTGAGGCATGGAGACACGCCCCATGTCATTATGACCACTCTCATCTTTTGGCTGCTTTCCAAGATGAGGCTCAAGACACAGAAGTTCGCATTGCTGCTTATCTTGCTCTCATGACCTGTCCTAATCAAGACCTTATCAACACCATTAAGGACCGTCTCATCTCAGAAGGTGTCAATCAGGTGGGATCCTTCATCTGGACTCACATGACCAACATGCAGGAATCAGCAGCTCCAGAAAAACAGTGGATACGCCAACTGATTGGTGAGGAACTTCTTCTGAAGAAGTTTAGTACAGAAGCCCTCAAGTTTTCTCGCAATTATGAATCCTCTTTCTTCATGAACGAAATCAACACTGGTGCAACAGTTGAGAGCAATGTCATCTTCTCCAGCAAGTCTTATCTGCCACGATCTGCAATGCTTAATCTCACCCTCGACCTCTTTGGACAATCTATCAATTTCTTTGAAGTTGGTGGAAGAATTGAAGGTTTTGAAGCTTACATTGAACGCTTCTTTGGTCCTAGAGGATATTATCCAGAAGAAACTATTGAAAACATCTTGAGGAACATGAGACAAAACAGTGATGCTGATGCCACAACCTTAGAAGGCTTTCTTGACAAGATAACCGATGAACCAGAGGGATCCTACTACCTCCGTGTCTTTGGCAATGAGCTTCATTACCATCACTTCCAAGGACTTGAAAATCTCATCCAAACATCCGGTGCTTCCAACCCACTAGAATTCCTAATGGATTTGGCCCGCAAGGGAGATGTTGATTACACAAAATCTTACCAGCTGATGGACATTCATCATACTGTACCTACCATAACTGGCTTACCTGTGCGCCTCAATGCAAAGGGAACAGCTACACTTGGTCTGAAGATGAATGGTAACTTCAAGGCTAAAAGTCTGAAGAATGTAAACATTGAGGGATATTTCCATCCTTCTGCTGCAGTGCAAATTGATGGTCTCATTCTTGTCGATGCACACGTGACTCACACTGGATTGAAGATTTCTTCCAACCTTCACACCTCTACATTCATTGATGGCAAACTCCAAATTGTTGGTGGTAAACTTGTAGATGTAGCCATTAATACTCCCAAGGACAAGGTGGAGGTCATCAGTGTCAAGACTGAGTTCTTCTATTTGGAAGATGATCAAGAGACCCGAAAGGAAGTTGAGAATCCATTTGAGGCAAAAGGCTGTAGCAGCGGTATCATTGGTGTAGCTGTTTGTGGCGAGCTTGGCTTTACTCGACGATATCCTTATAGCCCAGCTTTTCCTTTCTCAGGACCATTTGCAACAAGCATTTACCTTGAGAAGACTGATACACAAACTGGATATGTTTTCCATTTTTCGAAGGCACAGAACCAAATCACTTTCGAATTTGACACACCGGAGTCTCAGTCAGACCATAAGATAAGTCTTGACATTACAAAATCTGGAAATAAAGCCACTTTCAATATTCACACACCTTTCAAATCAGCTCAAGGTGAAGGCGAATTCATTTGGCAAAGAAACAACAAGAACATAAAAGCTTCTATCAATATTGACGGGAGCGGAGAGTATACTTTAGATGCTGGGTTCAATACAGCCAGGAATGGAGTAAAGAAGTTTGAGCCTCATGTAATTCTGGCATCTCCTGGCGGTGAGCTCCTAAACTTACAGAGTAGCTTTAAGGGTAAGTTTGACTACAGCGAAAGCTTTATATCATCAAAGATCGACGTTGAATACGATCTCTGGCAAGGCAGTAAGGAAACCATCCATCATGCAGGACTGTTAAAGAGAGAAGGAGATACATATGAAGATGAGGATATTGCATACACACTTCAGTTTAAATTGGATTCTTCAGAATTTCCAGTTGCATCTGTAGATATTGATGCAGAGATGAAAAGTACCCCTAAGACCGTCCAAACGACAGCAAAGTTAGTTTATCCATATTTCGATATTGACTCCGTGGCGACTCAGGAGATTGAGTTTGATAATAATCACTTGAAAACTAGACATGCATTACGCACTCAGCCTGATAAAGAATACTCGATAATCTTCCAACTTGAAAAACTGGGACGCATGGATGGTAAAGGCACATTTAAAGCAGACCTGAACGACTTCATGTCATCTCTTGACGTTACATTCCATGGAAATGATGATGCTCATTATGAATTTCAGGTGAGTCAAATAGACAGGTTACAAAATAAGTCAAATATCAATGATGCAAATGTATAGCATATTATCTTTTTCTCACACATATAGACACCCTTACACAAGCACACCCATACATATAGACACATACAAACACACAGACATGGACACACATTTATGAGAGCACACATGTACTGAATCACACGAGTGCTTAAATACTCCCACATACATGTGAATACACATACGTAGTACGTGAACAAATGTATGATTTGGAAAAGTGTGTGTGCGTGCTGTTGATTCCATAAAAACTAACTAAATTTTACCATATTCAGGTGAATGGTGCAATCAATGGAAAAAATTATGGCCTTGAAGCAACTTTGGAAAACAACTCCGTACCTGGGAAGATAAACGGACTGTTAGATGGCAAAGTGACGACTCCTCAGCATAATGCTGTCATACATCTAGGTGTTTATGCAGACAAGGACAAAGCCCATGGAGATTTCAAAAGTACGGTCGATGGAAAAGAATATTCGGTTATGGTCGAAACCACTCGCACATCCGTCGTTGTTGATGCCAACATCATAAGGCACATTCTCATCAATGCCCAAGTAAGTATATGCAATCTTTATTTTTTTTTGTAAAATTCACTTGCAATTATTGTTTTCATGTAATGCATGTCTCGCTTCTTCAGATTGCGTCAACTGATGATATGCAGAAACTCCTTGTTAGTGCTGAGTGGGACAAAGACGTCGATCCCACAAAGTCCTTCATAATCGATGGACTATTTTCGACCGAAGAAGTCCATGGCATTATTAAGTGAGTACGAAAACAATTTTACACACAAAAACATAGTGTATGGAATTGAGCCTTTTAATTTCTCATGTTTTGGTTACATGTGTATGTTTCATCTTTATTTCAGATATGGACAAAAAGAAGTATCTACCATCGCTAAACTGATTAACAATGGTGTGGAGTTGGAAACAAAATGGGCCGCTGACAAGAGAATCTTTGTCAATGTTGTTTACACACTTGGCAACACAAAGTCACTAGCAGCTACAATGCAGACACCATTCGAAGGTTGGGAAAAACAGGATGTCTCTTTTACCTTCTCCCTCAAAGACTATGAAATTGAGAGCCACTTTGCTGCTACATGGAAGAACACAGAGCAACTGGCATTTTCTGCCACTGGTAAGGTAGAACCTGGGCTCTCTACCAATGCCTTTACAACCAAGATCGCATTCACAAGTGCCTTTGATAACTTTGAACGTCTCACATTCTCGCTAGACCATAAAATGGTTGATTTTGCCATCACCACTCACGTAGAGGGAGCCTGGAACCAACAGAAAATGGAAGGCAACTTCCACCTTACTCCTAATGCTAATGGTGTGGAATCTCAAGCGACTTTCACTTCTCCTCTCACGGAAAATATCCTTGTAACATTACATCATGAGTTGCTCAACAAGAAGTTGTCTACCACACTGGAGATGAAATATGGACAAGAGGTCTCTACTGCCACTGTCACAGGTCACGTGGATCTTGGAGAAGTCCATGACATTACTCTTGATTTTAAGGCCACCCCTGTGGCTACTATCCCTGAGATCAATGCTAGTCTTAAATACTCTCTGAGTGGAGAAAGTCTCAATTTCATTACTGAAGGAAAAATGGGGGAGAAGAAAATTATGCTTAATGTAAATGGTCAGATGACTGTTAGCGGTGACAATACGGACATTTCTGGTGACCTGCGCTTTATCACTCCCTTCTTGTACCCTGTGACAGCAACTCTCAAGCACACCCATGACAAGCAGCATTTTACATCACAGTTTGAGATGACAAGGTTCTGGTCTACATATGGTGATGTCAAGATACATGCTCAAGGTCACATAATCTCTAAGAACGACATAGAGCTCAAATTTGGCCTTCAAAGCCCTGTCATTCAGGCCTCTGCTTTGTTGAATCACAAGATAAGTCAAGATAATATACTCACTTCGACTGCCACTGTGACTGTAAATGGAGAAAAGATCTCTGTTTCTGCCAATGGTCATGTAGATATGGCACAACAAGTTGCTGATCTCCAGGCTGAAATCACATCTACAGTGAGTGGAATAGATGATGTTAAGGTGAACCTGGAAACTCTACGAAATGCAAATACTCAGATAACGAAGGTTGGCATCATCAAGGACACAAAAGCACTTACCATCAATCACCAAATAACATTTAATGACTGGTTTAACTGGGAGAACTCATTCACTGTGAACGAAATATACAAACTGATTAACAAGCAGACACACACTGGCTCTGTATTCACCCATGACTTGGAATATGTTTGGGATAGCCAGTCTGTCCATTTCTCTGGAAGTTTTGATCAGAAAATCTCTGGAAATTCACGCCAGATTGTTGCTCATGCCACTCTCTCTACTCCATGGACCGAAGACATGAAACTGGATATCAATCACCAAGATGATGGTACTGAATACAAGCCAACTTTGATCTTCGAGTACAGACCTGGTATGAAAATTGAACTTGCTAATGTTTTGAAATCTGAGCCTTCACTCTTCTTCATAGAATCATCCCTTTTAACACCATTCTGGCAGCCCCTTGGTTTTAAGCTCAAGCTCAACTTCCAGACAAACACAGCCGCTAATCTTATCCTAACTAGAGGTTCCAACAGGACAAGCATTGATGTTACTGGAATCTGGAATCCAGGAATGTTGCAGAGCTCTATACTTGTTGAGTCCACTTATGTTCCAAACCCTCTTTCTGTAAAACTGTCATACCAGTTAGAAGAACCAGCATTTGAACTTGTCATCAATTATGTAAAAACGTTCGGAATCTCCGGAACTTTCTCTGGCCATGCCAAAAAGGCAAATTGGAATGTAGAATCTACACTACCATTTGAACAGGTCAAGAATATTGGCCTCAGTGGTAGTTATGATGTTGAGACCATGCCCTTCAGTGCCAAAGCAGTCATCACATTCAACTCTAAGAATTATCAAATTGATGGTAAGATTAACACAAATGAATTCCTGGTCAATACAGATTTGGACGGTAAAGTTTGGAATCTCAGCAGCAACTGGCATTATGAAGAAAATCATGCTGATTTCGAAGTAAAATTCCAATCTCCCGTCACAGAACTAGATAATTTGGCTCTGTCCGGAATGTATGATTTCCGTAATGAAAAGAAAGTCACTCTAAAACTAACCCGAGCCTCACAGGAAATCAATCTCTCTGGAAGACTTGAGGAACAGACTCTTGTGTTTGAAGGTACAACTCCTTTCAGCGGATGGGAAAAACTTGATGCTTCCTTCTTCATCTCGCGTTCAGCCATTAAAGCTTTTGCCTCTAGGAATGACCGTAAGATTGAGGTTACAGGGACATGTCATATTGGGAGGAACAAGGCTAAAATTAACCTAGTCATCAACACACCATATGCTGGATATGAGAATATTGATGTAGATGCAAATTATAATTTCCAAAGGCAAGAAAAGACAGTCGAGTTCAAGGCAACATTCGCCTCACAAGAATTATCACTCAAAGGTTATATCAGGACTAACAATATTCTTGCTCCCGAGATGACTCTCAACATCATCACTCCATTTGAAGAGATGAGGACTCTAGGTGGAGAAGCTCACTGGGACCTAGAAAACGCTGTTAAGACTGCTGAAGTAAAGGCTTTCCGTAATGATCGGCACTATCACTGGGAGATAGAGGCAGCCACTGATAGTCCCCTAAAGGGTTATGCCAAGTCCAAGATCACAACTCCCATTGCTGGATGGACTACAGTCAACGTGGAAGGAAACTTTGACTTTACATCCATGCCCTATAAGTTTATATTTACCTTCGATAAAGAAGGAGTTGTTCAGACATTTGAAGGACATGCCACTATTGAAAGCCATAACATCCTTGCAGAAGTATCTACTCCTATCACTAACTGGGAAAAGATTACTCTCAAAGGTGATTTTAACCTTGGGAATGAAAACTTTAAAGGTACTTTTGAGCTGACAAAAGGTTCTGAAACATACAGTATGGAAAGTGACATCATTTTCAGTCCCCAAATGCCGAAGTTCCATTTGCACCTCAAGACACCAATTGCTCATGCTGCAGATTTGGAGTTTAGCATAGTTGCCGACCTGAAAGATACTGAGAAGAAGTTCCAAACATTCTTCAAGGTAAATGACATCACCTACTCACTTGATTTTACTGGTGAACACATATACAAAACAGGTTACTTCAAAATCATCACTACTTCTCCAGTACCAGGTTATTCATCAGTCGATGTCTATGCTAAATATGATTTCACCAGTGACATCAAAACAGTTGAGGCAGATCTGAAGATTGAAAGAAATAATATGCATTTTTCATTGGCTATGCAGGTCAATGAGAATCATTTCATTCTTTCTATTACAACACCATTCAGTGGCATTGAATCAATGAGAATAGAGGGAGATCTTGCTTATGCTGATAATAAATACAGAGGTTTTGCTATCTTTGAAAATAATGCTCAGAAATATGAATTTGACTCAGAGGTTGATCTAAAAACGAATAGTGCCAAAGCAAAACTTTCGACTCCCATTGAATCATTTAAGAATATTGAACTTAATTGTCAATACAAAATCCTAGATCATGGAGTCGAGAGTTCAGTCGTTTTCCAAAGGAATAACCAGAATTTTGCTTTCAACACTCGAGTGTACCTGACTCCAAAGAAAACTGACATACATGTTGCACTTGACACTCCTGTTGAAAATTGGAACAAAATGGCAATTGATATCAAATACGACATCATATCTACAAAGAAATCTGCTGAAATAGCAGTTCAGAAAGACTCATTCCACAAGGAGATATATGTTGAAGGAAGTTATGACCTCAAGAGTGGCTCCTTCAAGGTTAAGACTCCTATTGAAGGTTTTGAGACCCTAGGTGGTGAATATACTTTGGACTATGATGTCAATAACCACAAGCTAGAAATAACTCTTCTGATCAGCCAGAACTCCAACAAGTGGAACTTCTCAGCCTACGGTCATTATGATGATGACCAAGTGGTTATCAAATTCCAGACGCCATTTGAGAATTTTGAGACCATAGCCATTGAAGGAAACTTTGACTTTGATCAGAAGACTGGAAAAGCTGCCATTCAGTTTGGTTCTTACAAGTTTACAACTGCCTTCACTTTTTCAAATGATGACATTTCATTTGAACTTACAACACCTTTCACCATCATTAAGATCATATCTGTATCAGTCAAATATAACTGGACTGCAAGTTTGAAGGATGTTCATGTCAACATCACCTATAATGAAAACAGCTACCTTCTAAATGGTTCCCTTCAGCTCTCCAGCTGGGCTTCTGGCATCACATTCGAAGTCACAACTCCATTCGTTCACTTCCAGAATATATCTCTGAAAATTAAGTATGACATGAATAACAAAGAAGAGCTAGTACTGGCAAATGTCACAACAGAAGACCATGAATACAGACTGGCGATTGGTGGTTATATTGAAGAAAAGGTTGCATTCTTAAAGTATGAATTGAAATCTCCCTTCACAAACTGGACTGATGATAGGTTTGTCGCAAAACTAGATTTGACCAATGAAGACAAGACACTTGAGATTATTTTGGTAAGAAATGGTGACGTCAAAGCAATATCAATATCTGGAAAGGTAATTGGTAATACAGTGGACTTTAATCTGAAGACACCGATAAGAGGATTAGAAAACCTCAAACTATTTGGATCACTGAACAGATCCAAAAGATCTCTCGAATTTATGTATCAGCAAGATGAAGCACAAGCCTCACTTCTAACAAGTTTCAATTCCATGAAGCTGCATCTGAAGACGCCATTTGAGGCTGCCGAGGAGATTTCATGGGAGATTTCGAAGATCAACGACAACACATTCAAGGCTGAGTGGAAGAGAAATGCGAATCATGTTTCAGTGATAGTCAAGCAAGATGGAAATGGCTATAAAGTGGAATTAGATGGCGAAATGCAGGCTTGGGTATTAGTGGCTGCTTTTGATCCCAGTGTATCCAGTGAAGATAAGATCAAATTCTCTGGATCAGCAACTTTTGATGTTAAAGGTGCTTTGTCTCTGCAGATTGAAACTCCTTTTGAAAACTACAAGACAGTAAATGTAAACCTTGATTACAAAGGAGATAGCAAAACTGGAAAGCTAGAAATGTCTTCATCTTCCTCGAACTTCCATTATATATTTGAGGTAAAGGAATATAATCTAGAAGGTCATCTTCTAGTCCCTCATACTGAGCAGGATACTGACATAATATTCAATTTCGGTTTTGATGAAGGGAAAGTCACCATAAAGTCTGAATATAAGCCTCTGGAAA